GTGAGCCAGCTCTCCGGGGCCCTCTTGTGGCAGCAAAGGAACCGGGTTCTATTAGAACAAAAGAAGGAAACAAACAACAGAAAGTGGGCCCTCAGCCTCTCGGACCCAGGCAGGAGCAGCTGGCAGGCCCTGAAGAGTCACCTGTCCTCAGTGTGTGCCCCTGCCCACCCCCTCAGCCCCTGCCTGGACCCCCAGCCCCGCCGGCACCCACCCCGAGTCTGCGGTGATAGCTGTGGTCATGGCGGGAGGATGGCCTCTGGTTTGGGACATTGTGAGAGACACAGTGGCCACCTCCAGGGCACCTGGGGCGGAGGCCAGCTGGGCTCCGCACTGTTAACAGGATGGTGGATAGCACAGGCCAGGGCGACCCACCTGGCTTCCACGCTGCCTCTCTGTTTGGGCCTCGGTCTCCTCAGCTATCAAGCAGCCCCTGGCGTCGCCCTCTGCTCTGAAACTGTCTGACCGAAAGGGAACCCGGGACTCTGCCCCCCGGACTGGCTTTCCTCGGGCCCTTCTGTGTCTGCCTCTCCGCACTGTCTCCCGTCCGGCAATTCCCCGGCGCCACCTGCCCTGTGCCCCGCTCAGTGCCCTCGTCACCCTGGCCCTCGTCTCGGCCTGCATTGGCACCCTCTCCAGGGCCTCTGCTCTGCCCACCATGTCTGCCCAGCGCCCTCCCCTGGTCCCCATCCCTGAGCCCACTTCGCCCGCCCTCATCTACCTCTGCACACCGGGACCTGGCCTGCTCTCCACGTCTTCCCCCTCCCCCTGCCCCTCGTCCGTCCTCCTCCCTCGGCCCCGCTTGTCTGGAAAAGTCCTGTTAAGACTTCCCCTGCAGGTTCGCTCCACCGTTCCCTGGATTTCCTGCTCAGCTATTCTGTCCTCAGAGACAGCCGCCAGGAATAAAGTGTCTTCTCCCTCTCCCTGCCCGGGTCCTGGTTTAATTTCTCCCTAGACCCGGTCCCCTGGAATGGCCAGCTCGCTTGTTTGCTTGTTGTCTGGGGCCAACGGGGTCAAAGCTATAAAGAGGGAAGAGGAGCCCCAGAGGCCGGGAGGCCTGTGGTCGCCGCTCACGCTCACTCCCCGTGTTAAATGAAGAACATGAAGGTCAGAGTCATGCTTGCTTCTGAGAGCAGGGAGGGCCCAGGGGCCTGTTCTGGGCCTGGCAATCCTCCCTCCCCTTGCCCTGAATACTGTCACATGCGGTGCATGTATGGCTACTGCACACAGTGGCGGCCAGGGCTCCCGGCCAGGGCTCCCGGCCGGGTCTGGACCTCTGTGACGCGATGCTGAGGCTCCTCAGTCTCGGGGTCCCCCGTGTTTACAGAGTAAGTGCTGTGGTCCTTGCCATGGACACCCAGGAGGCAAACCGCCTGTTTCTCGCGTGTCCACTAAAGCACCCAGGTTCCCGGTGCAGACCCAACCCCTGCGTGGGCCTCACTCTCACCTCCTTCGGGGCAGAAAGAAGTGTTCTGGCCAGAATGACATGAGTGTCTTAGGCCACAGGCTTCGTGTGACTCCAAGTGGTAAGCACAGCAGAGGGTGTGGGCCTCAGGTGACAGTGACACCCAGCGATGGGACAGGATGACAAGGCTGACGGCCCCACCTGGGGGAGGCCTGGGAGGAGGAGCACATGGTGCATTTGTTCTCTGAAGGGCAGAACATTCTGGAACACACGGGAGAAGGAAGCCTCCGGGGCAGCTGTTCCCCTAACTGGCTCCGTCATATGCAGGGGCCCTGCAGGGCGGGAGACCAGGTGGGCCCACCCCTCCTCCCTGGCTCTGTCTCTGGGGGCTGCCAGGACCAGCCCGGCTCTACCCTGGCCCGTGGGTCCCTCTGGAAGTTGGTGCCAGCGTCATGGGCACGTGACCCGTGCAGTCCCATGGGACCTGCACTCAAAGGGCCCTGCTTGGGGCTGAATGCTCTGCGGTCGGCACGTTGAAATTCTGACTAATGTCTTCTCTGCCTTTGTGGTTTGTCAGTGAAGCCGGTGGGACAGCGAACGGGTGCTGGGGACCGGAGATGAGACCCCCTTCTGTGATCCCTCCTCCTACCGCCTCCTACGGCAGAAGACAGGAAAGCATTTTACATTTCAGTACCCTCAACAGCACCTTGCCTGCTTTTGAACCCAGGGTTCCTGTTTCCATTTGGCCCACACAGGTCCCGGGGTGCCCAGGCTGCTTGGGGACAGTCCCCACGACACACTGTGGGCGATTCCCAGCAGCACCCGCCCGCATGCCCACGCCAGCCTCCCTTCTGCTCTCCCTCAGCCTCCCCCCAGCCACACGGCCACACAGCCCACGCCCCCCTCTCTGCCGTTCCTCCAAGTGTGGTCCGTGGGCCAGGCCCGGCCCTGCACTGCTCCAGCTCCCGATCAGACACGCGGAGACCGAGGGAGCACTCACCAGCTCCCGCAGGCATGTGGCCCAGAGGTTTCATGCCGATAGAATCCAACAATGAGACGTTAGCACTTGTGTTTCTTTTCAGTTGGTTTTTCTAGTGATTTTGTCTCCGTGGCTTTTACAGCTGCCGGTGCAGGGGCGGGCCTGGCTTTTGACTTCGGCGGGCTTGTTTGTGAGGCTGCTGTGCTCCGTGACTGTGGTCCCACCTGGCTCTTTCTCGGCCCTGTCACCGGGCTGCGTCCCAATCGCCCTGGCGCTTTGTGCGGACGTGAATGGGGAATCTCAGGCACACGCACATCCATGAGCGGCGGCCCCGTTTCCATACCAATGCCAGTGGCCGCGCCCTGGGGCTCTGCCCACGAGGCACCTCCGGCGGCTCTGGATCGGGCGAAGCGCAGTGTGCTGTTACGTTCACATCACACACCTTTCCCCTAAAAGCCGTGATGAAATCTTCCCATCATGGATGGAGAATGTGTTTCAGCTGACCCGCTTTACAACTTGGCTGTGGGTCCATCTTCCTCCTTTAAAAAAAAAAAAAAAAAAATATATATATATATATATATACATATATATATATATATTATTGATTGTTTTACAGAGAGGAAGGGAGAGGGATAGAGAGCCAGAAACATCGATGAGAGAGGAACATCGACCAGCTGCCTCTTGCACACCCCCTACCGGGGATGTGCCCGCAACCGATGTACATGCCCTTGACCGGAACCGAACCTGGGACCTTTCAGTCCACAGACCGACACTCTACCACTGAGCCAAAATGGTTTCTGCAATCTTCCTCCTTTTCAAAAGGGGCAGGCTCTCCGTTCCTAACAGCCTCCCATCCTCCGTGGCTGAGGAGGACTGGCCTCCATACCTGTGCCCGAGCGGGGAGGCCAAACGCTGCCTCCAGCTGCCTGTCACTCCACTCCCGATGGTGGCTGTTCTTGGGGAGGAGCAAACAGGAAGTGGGTCCACTCACCTCGACCTTGGCCTTGGATGAGGTCAGAGAGGACGGAAAGAATTCTCAGTGCATTACTGAATGGCCCGTTAATAGGTCTCAGCCCTCCCTTCATTTATTCAATTTAACTTATAAGTGGGCACCGAGGACAGAGGTGGTGAGCAGGGGGCTGCAGCCTCAGGGGCACAGACCAGCCCGGCCACCTTGACCCCCATGGGCAAGGCCCGGAGGGGCAGCAGAGAGCCAGGAAAAGGAGGTAAGGGACCAAGCACAGGATGAAAAAGAGAAACAAGCCTGTGAGCTGAGTGAACTGTGTGTAGGAAACTGTATGGAATCCACGTGGCGTTTATGGAACTTTTTATTTTTAGGAGGAGGAAACTCTTTAAATGTGTCAGTCACTTCTGTTATGAAAAAGCCAGCCTGCTTGTGAGGACAAGGGCCATTCAGAAGACCTCCATCATGCCTGGCCCTTCTCTGACCCTCGTGGGGATGATGGTGGTGACCTTGACATTGGTGGTGACCTTGACCGCTGTGAAGGGGCAGCAGGGAGTGCTATCCTCGGCATCCTTCTGAGGAAAATGTGCGTCACGCAGGCTCAGAAGATGCCAGGGCAGGGAAGTCTGAAAGCCTGCCCTCCAGCGTGCACCCTCCAGTGCAGCCCGCTCCTCCCCTGCGTGACATTTCACGGTCAAGGACGAATCTTGGCAGATGCCTGTGATCGCATGATTTATAAATCATCCTGTATTTAAAGGAAGCTCGGCCTGCTCCCCAGCAGGGCAGCCCTCCTCTGCGGGAACAGAAAACCAGGGACACGCAGTTCTATTGGAGAGCGAGCAGGAACAATCACCGTTCTGATTGAGTTTTTTAAAAAAACATTTTATTTCAAAGGGTAGATAAGTGTTTTGCTAGGCAACAGCCGAGAGAACAGTGGCCACGAAACAATCAGCCTGTCAATAAATAACAAATGCCCTGTGTGCCAGCCCCCACGGCACAGCACACACTCCAATAAATAAACAAACCCGGCCCGGGGGTCTGGCCTGGGGGAGCAAACAAATTCTGCACGGGGACCCGCCCGCTGCCAGTACCTCCCCCTCAGCCCCCTGCCCCGTCTTCCTGGACCCCACGGGGACCGACAGAGTCAGGGCCCTTGGAGCTGGGGTGACAGGAATCCTGGGGCTGGCATTCCCGGTGCCTCCAGGGCCCGCAGGCGTGGACACGTCATCGCTGCTCGTCTCACAGGTGGGCACAGAGAGGAAGTGCCGGCGTCCGACTCCGTGGGTTCTGGCCCAATGTGAGGCTCCGTCTGGGAAGGGGCTGTTTGCTGGCTGGAGCTGACCGTCTTCCACCCGTGTCCTGGGGGGTCCTGCCCTCGGGCACGCACCCCATTCTAGCGTTCCACGCCGAAATACCTGAGAGACAGGGCACCTGGGTGTCCCACAGCACCTGCCAGGTGCCCCGGGTCGGCCATGGTCCCGAGCGCCAGGCCCGCCTGACACAGTGCGGGGGCTCCCGAGGTGGCTTTGTGTCTGTCCAGGTGCGTGTGTAAAAGGCAGGAGTGAGTCATTCTTTTCAACACAGGATCCTTTATTTGGACTTTTCCTTGAAAGACAGCGTGTGGACGGCCCGGCGTCCCTCTGTGGACCGAGGGGTCAGTGTTCCTTAAACCTGGAAGCAAAGGGCGAAATAGCAGCTGGTCACACTGACAGGTGGTCGGAGGACAGACGCCCCTGGCCCCGTACAAGCCCCTCGTAGGGAGTGCCGCTTCCCTCCCCTCTGCGGGGGCAGCCCGCTCAGCCCCGCCCTACCCCACCCCACAGCCCTGGGGGCCAGAGTGGGGACAGGAAGGGGGCAGGGGCAGGGGCAGGGCTGAGCTCTGGCTGCCCCTGAGAACAAGAGCCCAGCAGCCCAGCTCTCTGAGAACAAAGGAGACAGCCTCCTGTCTCCCCGTCTTTCACTCGATCTGGAGGGGAGATGACCAGGATCGATCCACAGCAGCCGTTTGTGAGGAAGGAAAAGGAGAGCTGGCGAGCTGTGGGATGAGGGGGAGCGGGGAGCTGTCTTTCTTCCGTTAGAGCAGCCAGGTGTGGGCGGCAGATAAGCCAGAGCGGCCTCTGAGGCAGCGCTGTGATTACTGGGAGGAGGGGGGGATAGAGGGATGGGGGGAGGGAAGAAGGCGGGGGGAGGGGGGACTTACGGAACTTGATGCCCTGTCGCTGACCCTGGGCAGCTCAGCTCCTTGTGTATGAGGCGGATCAGGAACTGCACCCAAACACAGACAAGACCACGGTCACTGCCGAGTGCGAGACCCCGGTGCGGCCGCAGCACGCCGTCGCTGCAGACCTGGCCCTGCCCAGGGAGCACACACAGCGCCTCCCCAGGGACACGTCTCCGGGACAGAAAGGCCCGAGGCCGCACACGGGCAGGAGGCCCGGGCAGGGCTGCTGCTCACGGAGCCCCGTGGAGGACGCGCCGTGGGGAGTGAGGCTGCAGGAGAGACCGCAGCCTGAGTGACGCCAGGCACAGGTCACGTTTAAGATGAAGGAGCCCCACCATACATGTGCCCGTCGGAAAAGACAGAAAGTAGGACAAGGTGACCCCAGCCTGGGAGCCGCAGGTGGCTCAGGGCCAGGCCGGCCTTCAGCCCGGGCACTGGGAGCTGAGGCGTCGTCCTGGGAACAGCCCGGCTGGGGGGACACGGAGCTGGCTGCCCGCCCTGCAGCCCCCACACGCTGTTGGAGCTGCCGGGGAAACCGAGGCAGTGCAGCCTGTGCCCTGGCCGAGCAAGCTCTTCGCCTTTGTGACCTTCTTCATGCCGAGAGGGCTCAGACCCAGCTCCCAAGTGCAGACTAAGGACTGGCACCACCAGCATTGAACCAGTTTTCTCTGTGTGCCTCTGCTCTTTCCTCAGGTGTGACACCAGCCCCCACGGTGGGCAGTGCCCTGGGGCTCGGGACGGGTCCCCGAGGGACGTCTGTGTCTGGGACACTGTGCCAGCGGGCGAAGGCAGCGGGCACTGGGGGAGAGTTGGGGGGATGATGTGAAACCCACACAGTCATGCAGGACCCAGGACCGAGCCTCAGCCAGAAGCCGGGGGCAGGGACGCTGGTTTACTTGGAGGCTTCAGGTTCAAGCAGGAGCTTAGAAGCCCCCCGAATGTACAGACTAGAGAGAAGAGGCATTTTTCTGACATCAATTCTACCGAGTTCCAAACGTGGAAAGTGTCAGCGGGAAGCAGCCTGTGATTACAAAAAGCGGATCAGTGAGAGAGGAAAATACTTGCTGCTTGTTAGTGTCGGATAAGCCCTAAGCGGTGTGACAATTCTGAAGGACAGAGCAAAGCTTCTGAAACATGAGGAAGTCCAGCTCCCGACAGGGGGCCCCGCCAGCCTGGTCGCTGCATGCACTGCGGAGGGAGGGCTGGTGGGTGTGAGCCCGGCCGCCCGTCTGACCACACGCCATAGCAGTCCCCCTGGCCTGCAGGTGGCAGGGCCGGGACCCCCCAAGGGGCCTGCACTTTGCCTCTCTTCATGGCCTGCAGCCATGTTTAAACCAGGAAGAGGAAGGGTCTGGGTAGAGACATTTAGAGAAGTGATGACGCCCAAGGCCCACCGTCCCTGAGGGTTGCTGGAGCCCTGGGGGAAGGCGCCACCTAGAGGCGCCCGGGAAAGGCAGCTCGGATGCGGAGCTGGACTTACCAGTAAGGCACAGGCGTCGGCAAACATCAGCATGTAGAACACGTTGTTCCATCCTGACGGGGAGATGAGCCCGGCCAGCAGAGGGCCCAGGGCCGCTCCTGAAACGAGGCAAGAGGCATGCGCCCTGCGTGAGGACCGTCTGGGGCAGACCGTGTGCAGCACCAAGCGGGGCTCAGACCCTCGCTGACAAATGAGCAAAAAGCACGCAAACAGCAGCGTGGCGTCCTCACTGGTTAGAGTGATGAGGGGTATGAAGCTTAATTATAGTCAGTCCTGCCGAGGGCACGGGTGGCCCAACCTTTTGCTAGAAGCAAATCTAAAATATGGGTTGTCACTAAAATGCTCTTTTGACCCAATAACCCTATTGAAACATTTTATAATGAAGAAATCTGAATCTAATGCTATAAAAAGTATTATTTGGAGAAATGTAAGGTGCACAGATACTAATAAAGTATCCATGTTAATTTCCTGATTCTGATCATTGTTCTGAGCTCATGCCAGGGAGTTCCTGGTTTCAGGGAAAACATACTGACTACACAGTTAGTGGTAAAGGGGAAGCATGAATGCAGTTTACTCTTAAGAGGTTTAGAGAAAAGATGCTTATGTGTCCCTAAGTGCACATGTGTGTGGACAGGTGCGTGTTGTAAATGTGTGGGGTGAGAGCATGGGGGAGATGCTAACGTAAACACTGTGTGAATTCTCTGTGCTTGTTTGCAACTTTTCTTAAGTCTAAAATGATGACCACAATTTCTTAAAGAATTATAAAAACAAAACAAATATTCCTCAAAATGCCCAAAGGTCCCTGTGCAAGATTGTCTGCACTGGGTTTGGTGATTCATTCTCCCGCAGGAGATGGAATGATTGTGATACGTGTGTGGATGGTGAACTGTCTGATGGGGGAGAAATAGGAAGCGTTCACACCAAGGTGTGAACTCCGAGGTTTAGTCTCAGAGATGGAGGTTCCCACCTCATTACTTATGTGCTGACACTCCTGCAAGTGCTTGCAAAGGGCACGTACTATTATACTTTTATCACCCGAGATGTGACTGTAGTTTTCTTTGTCTCAGGAGAACTTCCAGGTAAACACGGTAAGTTTTTCTATAACCTCCCAAACACCACAAATGAATTTATAAAATCATAAACCCACAAAGAGAAGGGAGGTGAGAGGAGGCGCCGGTCCCTGGAGGATGGGTTTTACAGGACACGACAACAGACATGGCAGGTGCTACTTCCCTGTTCTAGAGCAGGGGTCGGCAAACTCATTAGTCAACAGAGCCAAATACCAACAGTACAACGATTGACATTTCTTTTGAGAGCCAAATTTTTTAAACTTAAACTTTTTCTAAGGCCACTGCTTCAAAATAGACTCGCCTAGGCTGTGGTATGTTGTGGAAGAGCCACACTCAAGGGGCCAAAGAGCCGCATGTGGCTCTCGAGCCGCAGTTTGCCGACCACAGTTCTAGATGAAGACGCAGGGACCCCTGCTCAGAGCCAGGCCCATCCAGGCCCAGGATCAGGGGAGGGCGGGAGGAGCAGAGGGTGGAGGGGGAGTGGCGGGGAGGAAAATGGGAGTTGGCTGTTTTCTTGTCTAAAGCACTGCTCCGTATGTCCCTCCACCCCCCTCCCAGGTTTCTCCTCCCCAACGTCATACCCCAGGGCACACCCCCTGAAACCCCCACTCCTGCCGGAGAGCACAGCTTAACCTTCGGAGAATTCGCACCGGAGGCTCTGGGCTCCCGACACCAAGGCCCGTGCGGGGCGGGATGCGTCAGCAGCCAGGCGCCGGGGAGTGCAGGGGAGGCCACCACCCTGACCTCCCACACACAGCAGAATGCCAGTAGCCAAAGCCCTGCACCCCTGGGCACTGGGGCGTCTCCAGATTCCCAGCAGACCCACACCCTGAGGACCGGCAGCGACATGCCCGCCCACGAGCAGGGCTTCTCATAGGTGCTCAGCGGCTCGCCCTGAAGCACTAAATGTATGAAGGGCCGGGCCAAGATCTGACCGTATCCGAGGAACGCTCAGCGAAGCAAATGAGCAGGAAATGCCCAGACTGGGGAGAAGGAAATCCAGGAGTGTGCTACCCTCCGAGCTAACGGACACGTAGGCTGAGCCATCCGGAACGCCCACCTCTGTGTCTGAAACCGGGTCGGCAATGTCAATGACTCGGCCTAACCGCAGCCAGGCCGTAAGAGGAGGCCACGCCACGGGCAGGCGAGCCTGGTGAATACTAGCACCAGGCGAGCCAGAGGGGAGGGCACTGCAGAGGTCGGGCCTCCGAGAACGCCTCTGAGAAAGAAGAAAGACACGGTGCAGGAGGAAGGAAAGAAAAGAAAATGGAAGATCAAGCCAGAAAGTTCAACGTCTGAAGAGTAAGTTTTCCAGAAAACAAACAAACAAACAAAAACCACCTCAGAAAATAGCAGAAAAAAAAAGGTAACAAAGACAAATAGAGGCCCCTGTGCCAGCGATGAGGGTGTGTGCACAGACCGAGGGCCGCCGGTGCCCAGGGCACAGCAGGTGGAGAGAGGCCTCAGAGATAAAGACGGGAGCCCCAGGGACACCAAGCCCAGAAACAAAGGCCTGGGCTAAGCACCCCGTGGACTCCTCCATGCGGCCCGGGGCGCTCCCACCTCAAATTCCGTTAGGATTAACTCTCGAAGCGACGGCAGAATTCAGACACCGAGGCCCTGCCGGCAGGCACTTCCCCTCGAGCCTTTCTCTGCTTTGCCACGCTGGGCAGCACTTCCGGAGAGAAATAATGAGGGAGACACAGCGGTGGACAAGTGTGTGCCGTTTCCATGGCGACAGCATCCTTAGGGCCTGTGCCCTGGAGCGGCAGAGCCTGGTGGTCCGGGTCGCTGCCAGGCCTCTGCGTGTGGGCATGACCATCCGCCACGCCAGCGAGGGCTGCGGTCAGGGACGGGTCACACGTGGCTCGGGCGGCTCTTTCGTCCTCCGTGGGGTCACGGGGCTCAGAGCTGTGCTTGGGCTTCTCCCACACAGCTCAGAGCGGCCCCTTTGCAGGTGCAGCGACTCTCTCAAGCAGCTAGCCCTGCTTCCCTCTTGCTTTGCGAATATCAAGAAAGACATGCTTTTCTCCGCATTCACTCCTTTTCTGGTTGAGCCCCATCCCTGCTTTCTGGCAGCAACCAGGTGGATGGCCTCTAACAGTGCTCACCGTGGGAGTGGACAGATTTATGCCCTCTCAGGGACAGGAGGCAGAGCGCAGGCTGGACAGTCCCAGTCCACCCCAGTCCGACTTCCCACGGGCATGACCTCCAGCTGTGGAAGTTCCCCGTGGGCCACGTGAGCCAGGAGAGCAGGCCTGCTCCATGAGGGGAGTTGAGCTGCCTGCAGACGCCAGGGGGCAGAGATAACCCAGGGGGATGATCTCACGTGAAAACAGACATCCCAGAGGTGGGCACGAGCCCCATCCAGCACATTCAAAGTCACCCCCGGATCCGGCAACAGGAGGGACCAATGATGAGGACAAGCACGGGGCTGCTCTGACCCCGGGGGACACGGAGGTTTGAGCCCATCTCCTGGACAATGGGCGGCCAAGGGCACGCACAGGTGGCTCCGGACCTCTGCCGGGAGCCGTCACGGTGCACGTGAAAGCTCCAGGAAGGGCGAGGGCACTGCCCGCTGCTGCCAGCCTTGGGACTGGCTGATGAGAACAGGCTGGTGGTTACAGTGCCCACTTGTCCCTCTCCGAGGATGAGCTGTGTATTTGACCACCTTTCTGTCCTTCAGAACATGCTACTGAACGGTCTCCCGGCACCTCAGCGAGGCTGGGGACACTGGAGCCCGGCTCGCCTTGGGACCTGTTAGTGTTCCTGCCGTTCCCATTTCTGTAAGAGTCTGTCCCAGAGGCGGCGGCGACACAGTCCCGGGCAGTGGGCCACGAGCGGGGCGGAGTGTGCTGACAGGAGGCATAGGAAGCCCTGGGTGCTCTCACATGGACAGAAAGTTCCAACCAGCCTCACGCCATGTTGTCTCGGGAACCATCGGCCAGAGGACAGATGGTGCCACCCCCCGTCCCCTGGGCTTGCACGCGCTTCTGCTCTGCTCGTATTTTAAGAAGGCTGGTGGATCCCAAGGTCACGAAAGCAATCGGAATCATGGCATCTTAATTAGGACAGGACAGTGCGGTTCTCCTGTGACAACTAAATTTTAGAGCTAAAAATGCCCACGTACCTACAGACCCGGTGCCGTCGATGATGGCGGTCACAGTGGCGAGGGCGTGGGAGTTTCCTTTCAGACTTTTGTGAGTCCCCTGTAGAGAGGGAAAACGGGGTGAAGCGTGTCCCAGGAGTGTCGGGGGAGAAATGAGCCTCCCCTTCCCCAGGGCACCTGCACGTAACTCTGCAGGGCGGGCCTCTGCCCTCTGAACCCGCCCTGGACAGACCGGCTGTCAGTCCTGTGCCCACTTCCCCTCGCTCACTCCTCACACGGCCATGCTACATCTGTTAGAATTAACGACCCCGCATGGAGGCCATTAACTAAAATCTATGTTATTCGGAGAGCATTGGCTTTTTATTGAATGTTTAATTCCATCTCTTCCTGTCCCAGGTTCCCATCCAGGAACCCACGTGACCTTGAGTCATCGTGTTGGCTATGACGAATTCCCAGAATTCCCTTGTTCTGTCGGCCTGGACAGCTGTGAGGGGTAGGATGCTGTCTATTTTCCTCATATTAGATGGGGGAGGAGGGTTTAGGAAAGAAAAACTAGACCGTAAGTGCCATTTTCGGCCCTTCGTATCAAGGGCACACGTGTCGACAGGGCTCATCACTATTGCCACTGACCTTGACCCCTCGGCCAGCACTTGCCCTCCTGTCCCCGGCTCTGCGCTGAGACTCATGTCACTCACCAGGTCTGCGGAGACGGCGGTGGTGATGAGCGCGTACGGCCCGCTGACCAGGGCCCCGCAGAGCAGCAGCATGGCTGTGGGAAACCACGGGGGAGTTAGGAAGTCTCAGCAAACCCGAGGTGGGCAGCCGGCATCACAAAGGGGTCCTGCCCCAGGGGATGCTGGGGAGGTGGCCCACAAACCCATGGCGGGGGGCCGGCCAACACAATCATCATAAACAACTCCCTTTAGAGCTGCCCTGAGACCTGCTTGGCAAGTCCAGCCACTTTCCCCAGAGTCAGGCTGTGCTTGGACCCGGACCTCTGCTCTTCCACTTTCATGGACAGCAGCTGCCGACACACTGAGGGGGCTCGAACCCGGGGCACCGAGTGCACATGTGACTACACATGTGCCCCCCTGATAGCAAATGCCCCTGTGGTCTGCTGGCCATGACCAGCCACAGCCTTATCTGCAGCGGCAGGCCTTCCCTGCACCCACTCCGAGGGAACGGGCGGAGACGCCGAGGTGCCCGTTTCTGAAATGGCTACCTCCTAAACCGCCCTCCAGGTCACCTCCTCTGTGCGGAGGCTTTTGGGCCAGGGGTAGCAGCAACCTCCGGATAACCCCCATCAACAACCTGCCTCCCCGTACCTTTCCGGGGATCACACTCAGCCTCCACCCCCACCCATCCCCCTGCTGGCTTGTTAGGATGGAAAGAATATTTCTAAGTGTCAGAGCCATGGGGTGACAGTGCGAGTTAAACAGCCCCAGAATGGCGGTGACAGGAGCCAGCTGGGAGGAAGCTGGAGCTGCCTGCCTCGCTCCTGCCTGCTCTCACCTGCCGGGGTGCAGGGGACATCTGGCCTCTGAGCGGCTCCTGGCCACCGGGCACCTGAGGCCCGTCCCTGCCGGGGGCCAGGCGGCCTGCCCCTCCCACACGGCTCTCAGCTTGCCGACGGGCGGGCCTGTGCCGGGAGCAGGAGCCCGTGGGCCTCTCCCACGCCCCCACCCAGAGGGGCACGCGGACTGGCTCAGCCCCGCCCAATGCTCCCGGCACACCAGCTGAGGGCTCCTTGGTTAGTTTTCACCTCATTGTACCAGCTGTGGGGTGAGGAGACGCGTGAGAGCAGAGCGGGCCTGAGGACTCACCGACGGTGGCTTCCAGCCCCATCCTGCTGATGGTGGAGAAGATGTAGAGCTGTGAACGGTGAAAACAGGGCAGCAGGGGGTTACGACAAGGAGCCGAGAGGGTGCCCTGGGGTCTGTGCTTCCGAGAAGCCGGGCAGGTGGTTCTCAGGAGCCAGGCAGTCCGGGGCAGCCCTGAACGGAATGGACGCCCCGCTCCCTGGCTGGGCGGGCTGAAGGCGGCGTCTGTGGAGAGGCTGGCACAGAAGCCACTGGCCTTGTCCCCGACATGCAGGTCCCGGTCTCGCTTGCTGAGTTGGGGGACCCTGCGGCACTTCCTTCTCTGAGCTCCTGGGCCAGAGGACTGGGTTGGGACAGTTCTCCTAGAGTCTAACCACTGACCCACAGCGGCACTGGGGAAGTGGGGGGCCGAGGCCTGGGGGCCACACGCAGTCAGTTCCTTTGTGAAGGTTCTCTGAGTGTCTGCTGGGCAGTGTCTGCCACCCAAGACGACAGAAAACTATCCGGGTCTGGGGACAAGCACAGCCCAGTGGAGGGGCAGACCAGATAATCACAACGTGAGTTGGGGCGTAACAATGTTACATGTAACATGTTGTAGAGACAGCCGCTGCGATATAATGCTTCATTTAACCCTCACTGACAATGAGGTGCCGCTGCTGTCTGACTGTGCAGACAAGGAACGGAGCTGCAGGGCGGAAAGCCACCTGCCAAGGTCGCGCTCCACCGAATGCCGAAAAGCAGCATGGCCGCTGTGAACCCGGGGGCGGGGCCGGGAGCGGGGATGGCGTGGGGTCCGGAGGGTCAGTGGGAGTCTGGGGGAAGAAGCGGGGAGGGCCCCGTGTGCAGTGAGTGGGGGAGGCCGGGGCTCCGCAGGCCCGCGGGGTTTGCGGAGGGAGGTCTGAGCCATGGAAGGCGTGGCCTGGGCCGGCGGAGAGCGCTCGCTGGTGGAGGACAGAGCCGGTGGCAGGGGTAGGGGGAAGGGCAGCTCACCGTCGGGGCCGCGAGCAGCAGCATCAGTCCGCAGGTGGAGGCCCGCTTCTCCAGCCGGTCCGAGATGACTCCTGCCAGGATGCCACCTGCCGTGCAGAGGGGGGTGCTGAGGGCCGCCGCCCCGGGCGAGGCCCCCCGGAGAGGAAGCAGGATACGCATGCAGGCACAGCCGTGAGGAGGCAGTGACGTCCCTGCCCAAGTCCCCTTGCACGTCCCGTCAGCAGGAAGCCGCCTCAGAGATGCCTGACCTCCGAACAGGCCGATGTGCTGTGGTCAGACACAGTGGCCGGAGGCACCTCCCAGGGAGACAACGCGGGAGCCCCGGGTCTGCCTCAGGCCCGAGAGCCCCCTCTGCCAGGTCACCACCACCGCCCGCTGGCCGCCCGCTGGCCTGTCTGACGGAGCTCACAGGCAGAGGCAGAGCCAGACGCGGGGGGGTGGGGGGGGTGCACTCCCACTCAGGCGGGACATCTTGGGGCACACCGTCCTCTCGGGAAGTCAGCTCTGAGGGCTCCCAGCCCTGGTGCTCACATGCCACTGCCTGGAGCAGGGGGAGGGACTCACCGAAGATCCCGCCCACGTCAAACAGGGTGGACAGCTCGCCCGCCTTCTTGGCGTCCAGGTGATCTGTTAGAGTGAAGGGGGTCGCTGTGGGGAAGATGCTCCCACCGCTTCCTTCTGCCTCCTAAGCTGATCCGCTCCGAGGAGCAGCCCGCTAACTCCGACGGCCGAGAACCAGCAGCTCAGCCCGTGGGGGGGACTCACAGGAAGATGAGACCTAAACACTTGCCCCCAAATGAGCACGGGTCCCTCCGAGTCTCACTGGCGCCCCCTTTGGTTCAGTGTCGCCAGTGTTCCATGCAGCACAGGACAGAAGTGGGGTCGCTAGTCAGGGAAGGATCCCCGAACTCCTGACTGCCTTCCCTGCCCCCCACAGACCCTGCCCCTCGCTGTCCCCTCTGCCTCCATCCTGTGACATTCAGCCCTCCTGCTCGGGCACAGGCCACGTCCGCTTGTCCTCGTGACACTGGGAACATGCGATCTGCACCCTGCAAACCCACATTCCACATGTCTCCTCCCCGTCCGTTCAGCAGAGCCGGCATCTCCCCACCTCTCAGGGGGACACCCAGACATTCGGGGTCCTATTTGACCGTCCTTCCCTGCCCATCCCGTCCTGCCCATCCCCATCCCCTTTCAGCCGAGGCTGCAGTCCCCGGCCGTGGAATCTTTTCTCTGAGGAACGTGTGGACCCCGCTCGCCTTTCCTGTGTGGTCACACACGGGGCGGGCACACTGGTATTGAGCTGGTACGTTCTGTCACCACCTACAACGCCAGCCCTGCTGGACTTTGGAAGTTAAGACGTACTATCTGTTCTTCCCTCAAATTGGAGCTCATCCCCAGGAAGCAATTTCCAGCTCAGACCATCACACTTATTATCTCAGCTCCCTGGGGCCTCTGCTCCTGCTCGCCAGCTGCCGGGCCCAACGTCTGAGGGAACCAGATTTAAACGCAGGCTGCCCCGGAACAGGAGACCCCGCAGAACCAGCAGCCACAGCTGGGACACACATGCCCCCCCTTTAACCCACCAAGGTTATTGCCATGGCAACAAAACGTGCCCCGCACAGCTGCCTCTGGGTCTGTACATGTCCACTACTCATGCCGCTGGGTTCAAAGTGTCTCTCACATCACCATGCATCGTGGATGCCTCTCCCACGTCCCAGGGACCAGCCGAGAAAGGGAGTTCGGTCACAGCCTCCGCACAGAACCTAAGCGAGCGCTTCCAGCCACAGGCACTCACCGACGTTTGTGATGTAGAGAGGGAGCCAGAAGAGGAACGTGTAGCTGACCAGCTTCGCAAAGAGCAGGCACAGGGAGAACTCGACCACACCCTGAAAGAGAGCGAGCCTGCTGACTCCAAAGGTGCACCCCCTGTGTTCACTTCAGGGTGCGACTGAGCCACAATGCCCCGACGCCCACGCAGCTCTGGGCGGGCTGGCAGTGCCCAGGCCCGCCACAGCGAGGTGAAGCATGCGCTGTCCACGTCAGTGGCTGGAGGACTCCTCTACGCCCGAGCTCATCCAGGAGCCCAGTGCTGGGAGCGCCGATTTTGCACAGGGGATATCCCAGCTGGAGGGGGTGTGTGTGTGACGTACTGCACCCTCACTGTGTAGCTGGCATTGTGCTCCTTCAATCTTGAACAGCAGTAAGCATCACACTCTTTGCCAAGTGATGATGAGGGAGTGGGGGCTCCGAGTGGCTGACACTTGCTGGGACACCCAGCTCCTCCGAGGCCAGGGCTCTCAGCCTGCTCTCTGTTCAAACCCATTTGCATTTCTTAACTAGTGTGTACACCTCTTTCAGTAAAAGTATTTGGGCGCTGCACAATAGGTACAACAGAAATGGTACTAGTTGCTAACAAGACACTTTTTAAAAATAAACTCCTATTTAAAACCAGTGTTTCCTGCAGGCCAGCCCAGAGCTCTCTCTCTTTCAATGACGGGCAGCCAGCACCCTTGACTGAATTATGCATATTTTTAAAATATACATATATTAAATATATCTCTCCTCAGCTTTAAACAAAGAACAAGCCTGGTTCTGTGGCCCTTCAGCTTCTGTCTGCACCCCTCACCCTCCTTCCTGGTAGAACACGGTCAGTGAGACCAGGTCTGGGCTCCTAAAGCACTTTCATGGGTGAAGGAAGTTGAGCGGGCCCATCCCAAAGAGTAGAACATAGGCCCAGCGCCTCCTAAGGGCCACGGCAGGTCCTCAGGGGCCAGCAGGCGGCTGGGAGGGAGGGAGTGACACAGGGTATGGAGGCCCAGTGGGGCCAGAGACTCGGGTTTACAAGGGAAGATGAGAGGCCTGTGTGTCTGTGACATTTCTGAATTTCTAAGTGGAGACAACTAATTTAAAAACTCTTTAAAAACAGTGTGAGGCAGGCAGACACTGAGGCCCCCTCAGGGCCGGGCTGCCCGTGAATGGGCCTGCTGAGGCTCTGGCCTGTGCATTGCTGATCACAGGTGCCTTTGCTAAGCTCAGTTATCAACAGGCCAGTTCATCTACCATATGCACCGACGCCCCCTTTGGAAACTCTCCCCATGCCAGTACTTACAGGGATTTTCAAGGCCCCGGTGAAGCTGATGGCAGCCATGCTGCCCCCGCCCTCAGCCGGGAGGGTGACCACGTGGTTCTGATGGACAGCACGCTTCCCATCCGACAGCAGCAGGCACTGCACCTCTGGGTCCTGGAGGTGAGCCCATGGGAAAGAGAAAGAAGAGGCTGTCAATGCCTCTGGTCGAAGGGAGGCCAGGGTTCCTGATGCCTAAGGGCTCCCCTGAGAGCCTCGGGGCATCTAGAACATTCTCACCGCAGTCATCGCTTTGAATCATTAGCTTTCCCGAGTTTCTAGGAAGTACTAACTAAACATGCAAAACCCTCTGACCCAGCCAGTCTAGGAATCTATTTGTGAAAAATAATTTGGATGATGAAAACTACTTATCCAATAAAATGAATGTCAACCACCATTGAGGAAAATTGGTAAAGTCCATCCATAATAATAATATATCTTGTAGTTATATAAAAAGTTAGATTTGAATGACATGGTAATGTGCTCAAAATACTCAAAATTGTATTTTATCATGATTTCAAGGAATCTATACATATATTATAAATATTTATATATGTGTGCATATCTATATATATATAGAAGTCCAATATGCAAAGTGTCCCTCAGAGGTTTGACCGGGAGACCAGGAGTTTGATTGCTCGCTATGATGTGCACTGACCACCAGGGGGCAGGGTGGAACAAAGAAAGGCCCTGGTCGGCAGCCAGCAGCCCGGGAAGGGAAGCCCTGGATGGCAGTTAGAAGGAAGGCCCCGGCCAGCAGCCAGAAGGCCCCTATCAGCCCTGATCACTGGCCAGGCCTATGGACCCTACCTGTGCATGAATTTCATGCACCGGGCCTCTAGTGTACAGATATAACAAGGTAACTGTGCAATGTATTATAGAAAGAAGATAAATTCTAACCCGGCAATGATTATCACCAAGTGGTGAAATTACATGCAATTTTTATGAAAATAAATGCTTTCTATGATCCTGCATTTTTTTAAGGAGCTCACAATGGATGTACATAATCAGAACCAACATTATTTCAAGATGCATAAACCAATTCTGATATTTTGTAAATTTTGATTCTGGACATTGCTAAAGGACAAGTTAGCACTATTAAAGCAAAGAACAGTGGTTCCCAAGGGGGGTTCCAAGTGTGAGCAAGATGGCCTGAAACTGTTGCTCACGCCTAAACTATGAAGTTCAAGGACTTAGAATGTTTCTCTGTATTTCAGACTTCCCATAGAACAAAACAGCCTGTAAGTACTTATCTCACTACAGCCTATGCCAGCTGGATTACAAATGCAATTTATTAAAAACAAAACAAAAGGAGATGACGATGCACTGTGATATCTGTCTCCCCATACTTAGAATTTTCTCCCAGCGAAAAACAGCAATTGGGACAACTGGGGGCGGGCGACAGCCACAGCTGCAACGTGGGCTCAGCCCAGCACCTCGAGTGGGCAGCAGGGTGCCATCCCGAGAGTCGGGAAGTGACTTGCTGGCAGACGTGGCACAGGGGCCTGGCCTTTGGGTAAACATGGCTACGTTCACCGCACATGTGATGCTTCAGCATGACGATGACATACATGAACATGAAGAACTGCCACTTGAGTATGGAAATCAACTTTTCTCTCATGAATTATGCTAGCTGTCCAGGTCAGGAGACTAAGTCACAGTTCTCAACCCTGGCTGAGCCCTGAGTCTCCTGGGCTCTGAGCCAGTCCGGGGCGCAGGCTGCACCCAGACAATTACAGGGGTCCTTGGAGCAGGCCCCGGGAGGCCCAAGTTCCCGGCTGAGAACTGCAGAACTCCACGAGTTTACTAACACTAAGCAGGCAGGGCCGAAGGAAAGGCAGTCATGATGGGGGCTGAGGAACACTCCACTCTGAGGTCCTGTGGGCCTGAGCCGGGTCCCTCTGGGAAAGAGGATGCCAGGTTTTCCTGCTGAACTTGTGGGTCACCCTGCCTGCCCACCAAGAGCCACCTGCAGTGTGTGAACTCTTTCTGCAGCACAGGGCAAGGACCAAAGCCCGGTGAGTGCTCAGAGGCCCCTCTGAAGGGCCAACAACCACCTGGTGGCGCCATCCTGAGTCAGCCTGCGGTGCGGCCGGGCCTCTAACAAGGTGACCGTCCCTTTGGTGACAGCTAGTAAACAGACTTCCGTAGAAGGACCAGGGGAGGAAGGAGCGACATTTATTCAGAAGACATGGCCGGCTTTAATGGTGAGGAGCTGCACCAGAACACAGGCCTGAGGTCAAGGGCAAAGTCAAGTCTTCAATCACAGTCGGAGAGGGCCAGTGGGCATGACCCAGAGGTTGAGCATCGCTCTATGAACCAGGAGGTCACAGTTTGATAAAGCAATCGGAGAGATATTGAGCCATTTGGACATCGATTAGGACCAAATATTTGTGCTCCTCCCAAATTCATGTGTTAAACCCCAGTTTCTGATGTCATGGTATTTGGAGGTGGGCCTTTGGTCAGGAGGGGAGCCCTCTGGAGGGGATTAGTGCCCTTACGAGGAGAGAGGTTGCTCCTCTCCCTGCTCTCTGTCTTCCTGGCATTTAGCTGGTGCCGTCCCCCCTCTCTGCACCCCAAAATGGGAGTTCCACAGGAGCGAGACGCGTCACTGACACCCACGGCACAGCCTGACCTGAACAGTGCCCGCCTCACGGAATGCTGCAAACACTTGCTGGACAAATGAGCGGCTTTCAAACTTGATTTTAAAAATGTAAAGTAAGCTTAGCCTGTTACCCAGAGAAATCTAAGCAGGACCAGTTTGAGACCCAGTTTTGTAAGGACCTGGATGTTCGGGACGGGTCCCCGAGGCAGTGGCTCTGACCACCTGCTGAGCGGCTCAGGGATGACTCACCAGCAGCTTCTTCTCGTCAGGCAGGGCTTGCTTCTGCAGGCGAAACCTGTGCACGCCATTCTCGTAGCTCTTTGCGTGCTGGGAGGAAAACATTAGTTAGAGCAATGACTGATCCCATAGCCGGAAACCACACCTCATGTCACTGGCGCGGGGACACGAAAAGCAGAGAGCGAGTCCTTACCGCCACCAGGGTGGACGAGCAGGCGATGTCCTTCGGATCTGAAAAACCAAACATACAGTCACGTGTGAACCCGGGGCCAGGCATGTCCTCCAACACAAGCACTGAACCAAAACCAGACTCACCTGACACTTTTACTCAGTCAGCAGCGATTTCAGAAAAAAGACAAGGCCGAAGGCAGCGTGCCTGGTGGGGTGAGGCCGCAGGGCGGTGGCCACCCCACAGGGAACCCACAGCCCTGCCCTCCCCCCGCCACCAACAAATGCGAGCGGCAGGAGCAAGGGGCCTGCTGCCCAGTACGGAGAACAGGCCACATGGGACACCCAGACACGCTGGGCACACCATACCGCAGTGACGGGTATGTGAAGCGTGTCTGAAGGAGGAGTTCCGGGAGGAAATGTAAGAACAGGAAAAGCTTTTCAGCATAGAAGGGTACAGGTGACATTGGTGATGAGTTGCTTAGTGCCATGGAGTGAATTAGAAATGGAAATTAGTGGGGACCCACATCCACCTCGATGTAGAAGCAAGCGCCTTGTATCTGAACGCCAGGAGGCCGGCCACCGGAAAGGGGAACAGAACTGGGAGCTGGGCTTTTCTATCTGTGGCTCAGAAATGTCTCTGGCGCAGTGGGCACCGGTGGCCAGCACAGCCGTGAGGCGCGAGGGAAGTAAACTCACTCTTCAGAGTCCAGAGGCTGCCTCTCATCAGCCCTGTTCCCTCCCCACACCCGGAAGGCTGGTCTTTTATTTATTTATTTATTTATTTATTTATTAAAATATATTTTATTGATTTTTTTATAGAGAGGAAAAGAGAGGGAGAGAGAGCTAGAAACATCGAGGAGAGAGAAACATTGACCAGCTGCCTCTTGCACATCCCCTACCGGGGATGTGCCTGCAACCAATGTACATGCCCTTGACAGGAATCGAACCTGGGACCTTTCAGTCCGCAGACTGACGCTCTATCCACTGAGCCAAACCGGCTTCGGCGGAAGGCTGGTCTTTTAATAACTTTTGGTGAAACAGCTTAGTTGTCTCGAAACACACTGAGCTAAAGGGCTCTATGTTCCCACAGCTGAGTTCCCTCCTGTGTGACACAGAGGGTGACTCCCCGTCAGAGCTGGCTTGCTGGCGAGGAGGACCAGGGAAGCCGAAGGCACAGGTGTAGGTCCGGATGTGCTCACCTGTCCCCCCACATGGGTAAGATCTCATAGGACAGCTCTAGACATGGCCTCTCGTGGCCTTTCTGCCCCAAAAGTGGACCCAGGAGGAGAAACAGAGCCCCAAGGTCACCACAGTACGAAATGGGAAGCCAGCAGGGGGACCCCTGGATCAGAGGAAGCTGACAGGAGGTGATGGGGATGATGGGAAGGCAGTTCCAGGAAAGCCCTCTGTTCAGAATCTCAGCATCGCCCCTCCCTCCCCAGCCCCACACCAGCAGGAGCCGCAGGAGCGGAGGCTCAGTGGGAAGGAGGCTCTCATTCATTTGATTACAAAAGACCAAATCAACGCTTCCTTATTCTTGGAAATCCTGCCCTGGCTGGCCGCTGATGGACCTACGAGGGGATTGGCACTCGGATCCCAGGCCAGGTCAGCAAGCTCCCGCCCACAGCCACACGCCTCCCTCCTCAGAGCCAGCTCTTATCAGTTAAGAGAATAAGTCATGGTGGACTCCAGACCTCGGGCAGCACAACGCACTGCACCCAGGAACCTTGCGCTGGCGAAGAGGAAGTGCCTGGCTCTCGGGTGACTAATGCGTGAAGCACACCGGGAGAGCCAGGTGGCAGGACCCCGCCTGGAGGAAAACAGATGGCACGGCTGACCTTTCCCAGAACTCGGGGACACGCGGGCCCAGGGAAAGGCATGTGCGACCTGAGTGCCCTGGCACCCAGCAGCACCAGCTTCTCCGCGGCTGGCACATCTGAGAGCCTTTGTCCTGCGGGGCCTCTATTTTAAAAACTAACTTGAAATTCAATTCAAATAAGCTTGTAACTGAGTCTAGAACGGAACGCTCTTCACCCAAGTAAGATACACGGTCATAAGCTGTGCCATGGTTTACAACGCTGTCCCAGATATAGCTTATCAGAGAGCAAACAAGGTCCGGGTGAGCAGGTGCCGGGCCGGGCACCTCGCCCCCGGCGGTGAGCAACGTGGCAGGCCCCAGGAAGTGGCGAGGCTCCTGGACACAAGGAGAACCCTGCATGCCTGACGCTGCAGGGCCGGGGGGCCGGTGGAAGGAATTTCAACCTATTTCTCCAGAAATCAGGAAACGGCAGAAAGTCCAGCATGACCAGGAGGGAAACAGCTAACGGGAAGGCGGCACCGGAAGGAGGAGTCTACCTGATGGAGGGGAGGGGAGCCAAGGCTGCCACACGCCTGCACAGAACTACGCAACAGCCCGCTCACAAACCCTCCGGGGTGGCGGTCGCTCAGGCACGGGTACTCACGCTCGATGAGGAAGAGGAAGCACACGACCCCCATGGCCGCCACGATGGCCCCGGGCACGATGAAGGACAGGCCCCAGCACGTGGACACCCAGTAGCCAGCAATCAAGGACCCCAGGATGTTGCCCACGGAGGTGTGGGAGTTCCAGACCCCCATGATCAAACCTCGCCTGCAACACAGACACAAGGCAGCACGTGATGTCCGGAAGCTCACGGGGCCGCCGTGGGGGACACGGCCCTGCGCCACGCGGGAGAGCTGGCCGGGCCGGAGGCGGTGCGGGAGCTGCTGGGCGCGGGGCGGGGACGCTTGCAGAGGACGGGGCTTCCTTTCCCCTCGGAGACACAGGGGTGTATACACGTCTCGCTCAGGGCCTCTTTATTTATGTTTAATAAGAGGAATGAGGCCTTTCCCTGAAGTTCTTGGAGGTCCCCAAATTTAAACAGGTGCCTAAGTCCAATCATCTGATGAACTAGCCCATTAGCATGAGTTTCCGCTGGCCCAATGGATGGAGTGGCTAAATGAGGCTCAGAGAGCTGGCTTCCTGTTCCCGTTCTCCCTCACCCTGGCCCTGGCCGGGGCTGTGGGTCACATAGCATTACTGTGGCATTTGGACCTGTCACGCTTCCATGTGCCTTAGTCTTATTTTCAACGTGGCCTGAGGCAGGGTCCACCCTCTGCACGCCTCCCCGGTCCCCAGGGCGGAAAAGGCCGGGCTGCTGGCCAGCTTTGCAGGAGGACACAGACCCGCCCCGCCCACAGCAGGGGGCGCATCTCCTGGGACAAAGGTCACCTGCATTTCAGAACCTCTGGGCCCAGAAGTTTCAATCATTTTATTTCCTAGACTAAAGTGTTCCCCCTACAATAAATCTAAAGAAAAACTGAAAAGAAAGTCTTTAAAAACAAAAACAAAAACAAATCTTGTACAAAATAATGCTGCTAGAAACACCTTTCTTTTTAAAACCTTTCATTGCTCTATGACAGCTGCCACTCAGTGGTATTTCTATGACAGCTGCCACTCAATGGCGTTTTGTTTTAGTGCCAGGCGTGCAGCAGGGGGTTAGACGATCACACACTGACAAGGTCTCACCTTCCTTTTCCAAACCAGTTGCTGAGGCAGGTGACGACGCTGGGCCAGCCGGTGGTCTGCACCAGCCCGTTGATGATCTGTGACAGAGGGGGAAGGGCGGCTCAGTGCGAGGGGAACAGTGCTTTAGGGGGGCTCACAGACGCTGCCCCTTCTCCGCCAGTGTGGGAGCACAGCCGGGACCCCCACAAAAGAAGGGGGTCAGACCCCATCTGATGTGAGCCCCGAGAGCCAAACATTTTAATCCATATATGTAATTGCAAATCTAACACACGCCTATGGTGAGCATTTTAGAAATGGGGAAAAGGAAGAAAAAGAAATCTGTGGCTAGAAGATGAACTACGAGTAACAGCCTGGGTCAAGGGGTTCAATCGCTGTCTAATCTAAATTTTATAAGAAGAGAAAAAAACTGTGTTCTTTTCCTAGAAATGTGATTGTACGGTAAATGTGGCTTGCAAATTGCATGCTCTCACTTGTTATGTTGTGAAGAAGGTACTGTTGTTAATGATACTCTGAACTGAGATTAACTTGGATCTAAAGCCTAAAGAAAGTATTTCTTCCCTTTTTAAGAATACCCTGAGTTTACAGGGCAAGAAGGGACTTAGCGCCTGGCCGGTGTGGCTTAGAGGTTGAGTAGCGTCGACCTATGAATCAAGAGGTCACAGTTCGATTCCAGGCAGGGCACATGCCCAGGTTGCGGGCTTGAACCCAAGTAGGGGGCATGATGTTTCTCTCTCTCCTTTATATGTATATATACTAGAGGCCCGGTGCATGAAATTCGTGCATGGGTGGGGTCCCTAGGACTGGATGGCAATCAGGGCCGATCAGGACCAGGCTGATTGGGGTCCAAAGGTCCTGGTGGGATTAGGAGGCAACAGTCACCGGGCCAGGTATGGGAGAAATGGACACCACCATCATCAGCGCCCCACCACCATGCAGTTCCCCACCTCTCCTCCTCCTCCTTCCCTTGCTGCTGCGCTGCCACCATGGTAGGTGGGTGGTGTACCAATCGGGGCCTGCTGGCCAGGGGAGGTTGGCTGTGGGAGGACACTGACCACTAGGGGGCAGCTCCTGCATTGAGTGTCTGCCCCCTGGTGGTCAGTGCATGTCATAGTGACCAGTTTTTCTGGTCGTAATGGTTATATATATATATATATATATATATATATATATATATATATTTAATTTTTATTTTATTTTTTAAATTTATTTTATATTTTTAAAGAAGGGACTTAGGAAGGACACTGGTGGATAGGCTCACTTTAGTTTCAGGAGTGTCAGGGGCAACTTTACAGGACGACATGAAACCAGGTCCAGCCTTGCGCCTCCTCCAATGGCCACTGGACAACCAGCTCTGCAGGAGCCATTGGGCTGCTCGCTGGGCCAGCCTCAGGGCCAGCCAGGTGTGGCCTTCCCTCCAGGAATGTGCTGGAACTCTGGGGAATTTTTTTTTTTTCTTTCTCCTAATTTTAAATATTACTACAAAGTGTAACTTGCTTTTGTAATTAAAACAGTCAAATTTTTTCAAGATCTTGTGGCAACCTTTTAAAAGGTAAAGCATGTTTAATTTGCTTTGATGATCTTATAACACTGCTAGACTATCTGGAGAGCCTCAGAAGTTGAACTCATTATTTTAAGTCATTTTCCATTTCTAATAAATATTTATTCTCAAGAACGTTGAGATGGGCAGTGGCCAAGTTTTTCAGGAAGGGCTGGGCCCAGCTGGGAGGGCAGAGCCACAGGCCTGTCTCTGCGTCACCTGCTGTGAGCACCCTTAGGCTCTCTCCTTCCACTGACCACCTCTAACCCTGTCCCGTCATCAATGACGCCCACCTCCTCCCTCCCTCCTGCCCTCGCTGCACCCCACGCCCCTCTGACTCCTGAGTGGTATGATCTGTCACAAGATAGAACATCTAAACTCATCCAGATGAGGGCAGAGGGCTCCTGCTTTGATTCCCTGCTGGGGTGTGGACAGATAGAATTCCCTAGAACACCTGCCCGGCCTGTGTGGCTCAATGGTTGAGCATTGACCTATGAACCAGGAACTCCTGGTTTGATTCCTGGTCAGGACACCTGCCTGGGTTGCAGGCTTGCCCCAGGATGGGGTGTGCAGGAGGCAGCCGATCAATGATTCTCTTTTATCCCTGATGTTTCTATCTCTCTCCCTCTCCCTTCCTCTCTGAAATCAATAAAAAAAGGATTTATTATTTTTTTTTAAAGCAACTCTTGAAACTTAAGGAAAACTGCACGGATGCTGGAATTTCAGAGAAGATAGAAGAGAGACCTTACATGTCAGCATTGACCCTGATGTCAGATAGGATACAGGTCTGCTATGCCCCCCAGCCCCATCCCCCCCCCCCCCATCTTCTCTCCTGGTGGAGGGAGGGAGGGACCTACGACATGAACATGCTGTTCAGCTCATCAGGGCAACCCCACGCGTGGTGAACCATGGACCCAGCCCTTACCTGAGTTACCACGTAGAATCCAAAACTGTGGATATTGTAGAAATACCCTAAGCCAAACAGGGCAGTAAAAATGCCGCTGGCCAGCATTCCGAAGGTTAGGTAATACCGAATTGGCAGGCGCTCCCCTATTATGCCGCTGAGGGGAAGAAAAGAGAGACAAGCATGAGAAAACAAACACACCCACAGTGCAAATGGCCCAGCAACCTCCTTCCGGATGCTCCCCGGCTGTTCTCGGAGCTGTTAGAACTCCAGCACAGCTGCTTCCAAGAAGTTTTAATCACAATGACCTCCCCGTGGGGCGCTCATTAGCCAGAAACTGGTCATGGAAACATCCTTTAAGACTCTTTATTCCTAGTGAGAGTCACTGACTGTCAAATAATAGACATCAAACACCATGGCTCACACACTTAGGATGGCAGCCATTTATAAAAAACAACCCAAGTGTATGCGGCTAGTTAATTCTGCTTTTATATAAACAACATCCAGTTAAAATTCCAACTGTCAAACTGCAGGCAAACACCATAAAAAGGAATGACCGTGAGCAAGCCTCTTGGACTGGGGCTGCTGTTAAGTCACCGAAGAGGCAGTTGGAAGGGACACCATCCCATGTTTACCCGCCTCTAGAGCCCACACTCACCTGCTGACACCTGCCAGGCTGCAGCTGGCCAGGAAGGCCCCCGCCAATCTACCCGTGTCTGCTGTGCCACGCAGTCCACGTGCCGAGGTGGCCCTGAGAGGCTGTGCCAGGGAGCGGGGCACTCCCCCCTGCAGTGACTCTGGTGGTCAGACTCTCGTGGTCACCCTCATTGGCCAGCGGCCGGGGAAAGGGTCTCGGCCGGTAACTAAGCAACAACGGAAGCACTGCATTTAAACCAGGTTTCTTCACCTCGGCACGCTGCCACCCGGGGCTGGGCGATCTTCGCGGTGAGGGCTGTGCCGTGTGCTGTGGCCGGTGAGCAGCACGCTGGCCTCTGCCCACGGGAGGCCAGGAGCACCCTTTCTCCTGCCGTGACAACTATCTTTAAGAAATATGTCCCCAGATGCTGCTCTATGTTTCCTAAGGGACGAAATCACTCCCGGCTGAGAGGAACATTTAGGTGCTGTTTTCTAGTCCCCGAGAGAAGCATCCTCCAGCACTGGGTCTTTTATTTTATAGGCTGTTGGTGTCCAGGGAGAGCAGTCTTTAGAGGAAACATTATTCCTCAAGATGGAACAGGCTGGCAGCCTGGGTGCCGCCCGGCCAGAGGAGCTGGAGGCGCACACATCCTCCTGTTCCGTGTGCCACTCGCTCGGGCTTCCCTGTCCGCTGCTGCCCACACCTGCCGTGCCAATATGCAAACACAGGAAAGGAATCCACCCTCTACCAGAGGGAACTGCCTGGCTGGCACTGTCCACCCACCAGGTCCTGGTGATGCCACATCTGGTGGGCGTCAGGGAAGAGGCTCACCATTGACAGAATCCCTGAGAGTCTCGAGTCTCTAAAGATCCCAGACTCTGGACAACAGCCTCTGGGGCTAAAGGCCTTACTTTCTATTGTGCGCATTTCCCCCAACCCGGCTGGACTGACACAATTCCAGTATTTTTATTATATTTTATTTTTTTTTTTACAAAAAGGAAGGAAGAGGGATAGAGAGCTAGAAACATCGATGAGAGAGAAACATCGATCAGCTGCCTCTTGCACACCCCCCACTGGGGATGTGCCCACAACCAAGGTACATGCCCTTGACCGGAATCGAACCTGGGACACTTGAGTCGCAAGCTGACGCTCAATCCACTGAGCCAAACTGGTAAGGGCTATAATTCCAGTATTTAACCCGCCCCCAACAGGTCCTGTTCCTCATCTGACTCGTACCACCTTCCTAGTCAGTTCAAGAATGGGATCAAGGAGAACCCAGGATAGAAGTCACGTGTGCCGGCCCCGTGCGAGTGCCCTGCATGTATTAACACATTCACCCCGTCCTCTGAGGTGAGAACTACCATGTCCCCCGTTGTGCAGAGCAGGCGGTGGAGATGGGCTTCAGATCCCGGCCACCACACCACAAGGCCCTGCGCTCAGGGGAGGAACCTGTGGGTGCCCAGCAGGTGCCCAGGGGGACCAGGGCAGCTCACACTTGGCACACCGCGGACTGAGTAATGTGGATACAGAAGCAGATGGCGGCCCTGGAAGCAGAGTGAGGATGCATCACGAGGAGCCCTCAGTCTCGCTCCTAAGTGACACCTCCGGGCAGGGCTCGCGTGTCCAAAACCCGAGGGCCAGGAAGGCATCGTGGAGCGTCCGCCCTGCCCAGTGGAGCGCACCGGCTCTCACTCTGTCCTGGTCTCTGAGAAGAGACGGACAGGTAAGGGGCCTGCATGCAGGCGGGGCCTAGTGTCACGCATACTATCTTCGTCATCGCACACACCTGAGAAGGTTCTGCACGGAATGGTGTAAGGCAGTGCTCGGCAAACTCATTAGTCAACAGAGCCAAATATCAACAGTACAATGATAGGAATTTCTTTTGAGAGCCAAACTTTTAAAACTTAAACTTCTTCTAACGCCACTTCTTCAACATAGACTCGCTCGGGCCGTGTTATTTTTTGGAAGAGCCACACTCAGGGGTCCAAAGAGCCGCATGTGGCTCGCGAGCTGTGGTTTGCCGACCACTGGTGTAGGGGGCCAGGGTCTCGCGAGCTCAGCGGACCTACCTCAGGTACATGCCGATGGCGTACGCGCACAGGAAGGAGTAGTCCAGGGCCCCGAGCAGCTGCTGGTAGTTGTCCCGATCTGCACGGTGAAGAGCGGCAGGCGGAGGTGAGCGGTGCTTACTGTCACCAAACGTCAGTGCGCGCTCCCCAGCGGGGCTACCGCACACAGACCTCTGCTCTCCGAGGAGGATGGAGAAGGTGGGGGTGTGTGCTGTGGCTGCTTGGCAAACAGAAACACAGCCACCACATTCCACACAACCACTAGGCAGCCACTGTCTGTGTGGACAAACCCTCCTGGCTCAGGGTGAGCATCGATCTCTTCTTTTCCTCCGGCACCCGCCTCGGCCGGCCCCGCACCAGGCCTCGGCGGTCTCTCCCTTCCACCCACAGTCTGTGCTCTGCACGCCTGACCTTCCCACTCTGACAAGATGGACATGCACACCGAGGTCAGCAGATGTCCCCACTAAGAGCATCTTTGTCCAGTGGTCACACTTCTGCACACAGGCCCCGTGACAGGGCAGTGGCTGGGGGAGTGGGACTGTGGAAGGTCCGCTCTCTGGACACAGTTACCCTAGAGGACACGGCACTGCTGCTCAATCAGCAAGGCTGGAGGGGCCGGAGGAGTGGGCCACGCCGGCGTACCCCAGTGCCCGCCATGGAAGAACCCTCCCTGAGGGGACAGCCCACCTCAGATCTGCAGCAACAGAGAACTCACCGAACGGGGCCCAGCCGCAGTCCGTCTCATTGTCCGGGAGCTGGTGCGCGGGGCGGGCGTTGGCTTTCTGGCTCTGGCTGTTGAATCTGACGTCAGCCTCGTTCCCAGTAGCGCAGTACTTGTGGAGCTCACTCTGGGACATCCACGGGGGGCAGAGGCCAGAGAGAAAGGACACTCAGCAGGGGTGCAGGGTCAGAACAGTGCCCCCCTCTTACCAGCCTTCCTAGGGCTTCTGGCTGGGGACCACAGAATGCGGGCAGGTCCGGTTTCCCGGGCTCTCCCGCAGCCCCCCCTCCTGAGCCCACAGAGCAAACACAGCATGTCCAGGGCACCAGAGAGGACTGCTCAGAGCAGCTGTGCAGCTGAATGCTGACTGCCTGCATCCTCAGACCGCCTGCCCATCATCCTTGGACCACTGCCCAGAATGGACCAGATCGCTAGATCTGTATGGCTGGGCTAAACGCTGCGGTGATGTATGAGAAGAGGACCAGGTCCGTGCAATGGCGAGGATGCCTCCCACAAACATAAGCCTGACACAGAGGGCTCCAATGGTAGGACTCTGTTTCCATTTATGATGTTCAAGGACAGGAAAATGACCCCATGGTGACCTTGATTAACATGGCCGGGCACGAGGAGCCTTCTGGGCCAGACCTCAGCCAGGTGATGACTTTCTGGGTGAGACGGTACATGGGACTCATTTGCTCTGTGCTCATGTGGCTGTGTCATCGACACCAGGGCACTGCCCTAAAAATCTAGCCAAGGATTCTGCTTTACAAATTCACTATCTGCCAAATAGCCTTCCTCAGCAGACCACGGACAGGGAGTGGAGGAAAGGCTGCAGAGAGCAACAGAATTACATCTGGGTCAGTGTCACGTCAGTGAGAAAGTGAGGGAGGGGCAGTGGAGCTGTAAGGAGCTGTCTTTGGTAAAGGATAATTTCCTTGTTCCTCTTACAAGAGTCAAACGCCACTCAAGCCTGTTGACAATCTATAGGCAAAATGATGGAATTCCAACAAGGGTCAGAAAATTACCTTGCTTCTCCCCAAGTTATGACTGGCTATTATGTGGGCTATAAAATCTTTACTCAAAGTCAAGTTTAACTGGCTGTTATGTAGGCTATTATCTACTCAAGTCTTCTTTACTCAAAGTCTAGTTAAATGCTGGTTTAACAGCTTCCTGCCCGCCCATCATGCAAGCAGGAACTCGGCATTCTAATAATAACAAATAACCACCACCACACCCAACTCAGGGTCAAAACGTGATGATCGTAAAAGTGAGTAGGGAACAATTTAGGATTGGATGTTTTGGAGAGAAAATTCACACAAGAATAAATATTGAACTAAGCTTTAGGATTCTGAAACTATCAACCAATATTACTGAGAGTATACTACCTTCAAAAATATAACTCCTAAAACATTTTATATTCAGAAAAGAGAAACTTAAAAGCAAAGCTGCAAAATACCTTGCTTCTACACAATCCATTTTCCCCATTTACCCCTCCCCCCATCTCCTGATAGTTTTCTCTTAAAGTGACTACTTCCTTATAGAGATTACAGGCAGGATAGTTTCCTATCCTGCCTGTAATCTCTGATTTCTTATCTTAACTATGATTTCTTACCTTATGATTTCTTACCTTAACTATGCTTACCTTAACTATGATTTCTTACCTTAACTATGATTTCTTACCTTAACTATGCTGATAGGCTTCCGAGATAAGTGGAAACTCGCATACAGCAAAAATGTCAAAATGAAAATGAAGGTTCGATACCTGAAACACAAAACAGTGTAGGAAATGATGCCCAATAACATGAGCTGCATGAGGAATTCGTGGCCACTGTAACTCTTAAATTGTCTTATGCTGCATATTATTCATTCAGCCATTATCAAGTATCAATCCTATTGATCATCCTATATAATAAAAGGCTAATATGCAGATTGACCCTAATGGCGGAACAATGGGTTGCTATGATGCACACTGACCACCAGGGGGCAGACATCAATGCAGGAGCTGCCCCTTGGTGGTCAGTGTGCTCCCACCTGGGGAGCGCTGCTCAACCAGAAGCCAGGCTCATGGCTGGTGAGCGTGGCGGCGGTGGTGGGAACCTCTTCCACCTCTGTGGCAGTGCTAAGGATGTCCAACTTTGGCTTAGACCTGCTCCCTGGAAGAAAGCAGGCCTAAGCCATCAGTCAGACATCCCCCGAGGGCTCCCAGACTGTGAGAGGATGCAGGCCGGGCTGACCCTCCCTCCCCGCCTGAGTGCATGAATTTCGTGCACCCGGCCTCTAGTATTATTATTTAATATTATATTTTAAAAGTGAGACTTCTGCTCAGTCCAAATTGAAACCAGTTAAACATTAATTTAAAAAAAAGAAAAACACCCCACTATAAATGCCCTAGCTGGTTTGGCTCAGTGGATAGAGCATTGGCCTGCAGACCAAAGAGTGCTGGTTTCGATTCTGATCAAGAGCATGTATGGTGATTGCAGGTCCCTCCCCAGCTCAAGCTCTGGTCGGAGAATGTGAAGGGGCAATGTGTTTTTCTCACATTGATGTTTCTCTGTCTTTCCCTCTCTCTTCTACTCTCTTTAAAAGATCAATGGAAAAATATCCTTGTGAGGATTAACAACACCAACAAACCCCCCCCCCCAAAAAAAAAAAAAAAACAAAAAAAAACACAATACTATAATCAAAGAGAAATCTGGGACTCATAAGGTGAACATGTTTACTTACAGACAGAAAGGAACGATTCTGTAGTCTGAAACAAAATTAACTGCAAGCTTCTTGTAAGCTGCTATCCTGGGCACTGACAATCATATTTTTTATTTTTTAGCTTCTATGCAACTGTTCCGAAGGACACAAGCAAGGCAGAGACACAAATATCTCACTGACCTCAATGAGAAAAACCGAGTGATGCTGACAAGCTATGAATAAGGCCAATGCATAAAAATACTGGCCAAAGCCCTGCTGCTCTTTCTGGTTTATGAGAAAAGCAGTCGGGGAGGGAGGAGGGAAGAGGGAGGAGCAGAGAGGGGAGGGGGAGGCTGAAATACATGGGCGTCTAAAGAAAAGAAGGTACTTTAAGAAGAAGATGGAAGTTCATTCCAGTCTGAAAATTTGAACCATGCTATTATGAAAAAACATTTCTTAAGGGGAAAGGATACATCAGGCAGAAGAAGTACTGGCAAGAGATGATGACAGGGGCTCCCCCCAGGAGGGCAGGTCCTTCTATGTCCTGAGACCCAGCCCCTCACCCTGAAGAACCCATCCTCCTTCTGGCCTGGAAAGGCAGGTGACTTTCAAGCTGAGTGATGGCTCGGATTGATAATTGCCCAGGACAAAGGAGGCAGAGATAGGAAAGAGGGCCCAGCCCACAGAGAAGCCATGGCCACTGGCTCTTGGAGGCACTGGGACCCTCCTTCAGGATCCGTCCACAGCTGTGATTGACACTTCAAGGGCAGCTTTCCTCCAATAACACAAAGATCCTGCCTCTTTGGCCAGTAGGGGACAAATAAAGATTTCTGGATTTAAAAAAAAAAAAAAAAAAAGGTCACATTTCAGGTGGGGAAAAAGATTGGTGGGACCATGGGACTAGAACCTTTAACTGCCAGGATACCTGTGCTTAGGGAGAGGAAAGCACTCAGCAACTACTCCAGAAATGACTAACGAAATGCCCCCATGTGCCCCTCGTCATCAAGGCAATACACACTGAGGGTTTTCCCAGGATTCTTCGCTCTCCAAGCCCATGCCAAGGACCAGAAAGGAAAAAAGAAAAATAATTTAAAAAACGAGTGCATGTTTTATCCCAACAGACAAAGACTATACAGATACAGCGGGGTCGTCCGGGAGTCCAGGCCTTGTGTTTCTGAAAACCATCTGTTTGGGTCAGGAATGAAATTCTCTCAGTTCTTTGCCTGAAGCTCTGTTATTCCACCTAGCTCTAGGCTCCTATGTGCCTTAAGTTGCCAGCAAAGGAAGATTCTAGGCCCTAGTACTCTGTAAGCCCTCAATACCCAAATGTCCAGCCCACAGGCAGGTACGCTGGCCACTTATGTCCACACTCTAAGTAAATGACAAGGGTGAGTGCAGCCTATGGGGAACCCTGACCTGTCCCCATTTGGGTACAGGGGTCCCTTTGACAGTCTCCCCGGGAGTATTTTGGAAAAGTCCTCAGAATGCGTTACCTCCCAAATCTGAGTCTGAAGGAAGAATCTGGTGACTGGTGTGCGACCCGCCAGGAGAATCTGAAGTTCATAACCACCCAGCCAGGAAGGACTGGGAGAAAGCAGCTCTACTTAAATGGGCCTTGGGTTCATGCTCTCTATCCACACCCAGAGTATTCTATTTATAAATGTTCTATTTTTATTAAACATATTCCCATATTTATAAAATAGAACAAATAACCCAGAACTAAAGAGCTCCTCCATATGTTCAGACAAAGTCTAAAGAGTCCTAGGACCCGAACATACCTGCATCCTCAGGTAATCAAGATGTCTAGGGTATGGGAACCTATGGCAATCTTTGGGCCATTGCCCATTTCCCTGAGCCTCCGCTTCCATCCCTGGCCCCTGCCCCTTCTCTAACTGGGCCTGGCAGCACTAAGGTGGTTCCAGGACTGGGCCTCATTGGGGGATGCCGGGCAGAGCAATGCTCAGGGCCGCTCCAGGAACACGTGGCCACAGAGGAGAGCAGCATCCGTTTCCAGCTGAACTGAGTCTTCAGCTCAGTTTTGGGTGGGAGGGAAATACCTTGGTGACCCAGCCAGCAGGCTGCCAGGTTCCCTCTGCGAACTTCTTTATTTCTGTGGGATCATCATGGGTTATGGGGCTGAAGTTCTGGCCCTCTTCAGTCCTTTGCCACTTTGTGGTTCTACCTTCATGGTCTTTCTTCCTTTCTCATTCACCATGCAAGGATTCTGGGTGATGTTTGTTTCTCTCTTACCCTTCTCGTACTGAATGGCACACTGCCCCCCTAAATTCATGCCCACCTAAAAGACTCAGAACCTGGCTTTATTTGGACATGGTCTTGCAGATGAGGTCATACTTAACTCATGGATGACCTCAAATCCAATGGGAGTCTAAGTCCAGTAATTGACATCCTTATAAAAGCCACGTGAAGACACAGAGTCAGATGGGGGAAGACCCCGGGACAACAGAGGCACAGGAGTGCAGAGGACTGCCAGCCACCACCAGAGGCTGGAGGAGGCGAGAAGGACTCCTCCCCAGAGCCTGCTGTGGGCCCTCTGACACCTTGATCTCACACTTGTGGCCTCCAGAACGGTGAGAACACATGCCTGTTGTTTGAAGCCACCCAGTGCATGGTACTTCGTTACAGCAGCCCTAGGACATGAATACAATCCTCCGCTTCTGTGTTTTGTGTTACAGTTAGGCTTGTGAATATTAAAAAAAACACAATTAAAAATGATTGATTGAATCCTTCATTCATCAGTGTCCCACTTACTTTGTGCAGTTATGCCTGACTCTAGCATTCTCGGCATGTACCGATACTGCAGGGGGAGTGTCTGGGTTAATCCCAAATTTCTAGCAAAAAAGCCCATCGTGACGAGGATGGCACAGGACAGGTGCACCTTCGAAGCTTCCTTAGAAATGCTCCCAGCTGTGAGCAGCCCGCCCCACGGTAAGACTCAATGCAGAATGTGCTTCCTCCTTTGAGTGTTATTTATCTCAGTCATATGCAAATAAGGAACACACAAATGCTTTAGATGAGAGTCACTGAACAGGCTGACTTGGCACCGAAATTAGCCCAAAGACGCCCTTAACTTGGAAACAATGAAACCACACAGCTGAGTCCTCTACACAGCACCCCAGGGAGGCACGTGACTTTGGTGACGTCAGCACTGATCACTTGGTTAAGGGGCTGCCTGCCAGACCCCCTTAGGGAAGCTGTAACCTTTCCCTCTAAGTAACTAGTAAGGAATCTGTGGGAACACACTTGGAGATTAAGTAAATAAGCTCTTCCTCCAACTTTCCCCCAAGACAGTGTGTCCCTTGGTGATCCTCACCTACACTAAGCTTGCCTAATGTCTGTAACCTGGACAACAGCTTGGTTGTCCAGGTTACAGACACGCCCGCCTCCTTAGGAGCTGCCCATCTGCTGTGGGGGAAGGGCTTTCCTTTCTCCCGTTTACCCACTTATTGAATTATAGCCGTGTGGACTCACTGGATTCCAATTGTATTCAATGGGCTATCATCCATTATTAATATCCTTTATTTTAAATATCAAATCATCTCAGACATGGCAGTGAAAACCCCTTTGTTTTTAAGCACACCCTTATTTCAGGCATAGACATATTCCTGGCTCCTCTTACTTCTCCTGCCCCAGTGCTGACAGCCCAGTCTCCAAAGATGCCCAGCTCCTTCCGTGGGAAAAAGCACATACCCTGTTTTCCCGAAAATAAGACAGTGTCTTATATTAATTTTTTCTCCCAAAGTTGCGCTAGGTCTTATTTTCAGGGGATGTCTTATCTTTCCATGCACCAGGTCTTATTTTCGGAGGATGTCTTATTTTCGGGGAAACATGGTAGACACCAAGATCTGGCACCAGGCGTGCTCAGTGCTATGATGTTCCCAGAGCCTCTTGGTGGGCAGGGATAGGACATTTTACACACACACACACACACACACACACACACACACACACTCATGCAACACATATCACGTACACACACACAGGCATATATATCTAGTTCTCCCCTGCTTTCTCACCAAATCCTCTTAATTTCTTTAATTGCTATCCAATACCACATGGTTCATTCAGTCCCCACTGCCCACCCCTCATCCATATTTTTAACTCCTTCACCATCAGTGAACAGCTGTTTCCCTTCTGTGCTATTCTTGACAAAATCTGAATCTAATCGGGAGAAAATACTAGATACAGCCCAAACAAAAGACAGCCTATTTAAAAAAAAAGAAGGCTTGTGCCCTTCGCAAATGTCAAGGTCATAAACGACAATGAAAGGCCAAGAAACAGTCCAGCTGAAAGGAGAATTAAATCTACAGGACAGCTAAAGGCAGCATGCAGCCCTGGGCTGCATCCCGGGCCAGGAAGAAAGCTATAAAGACATTCTTGGACATCTGGCAGGATTGTGAATATGGACTTTGGGTTAGATGCTAGAACTGTATCAGTGTTACATTTCCTGGTTTTGATCTCTGTGTGTAGTTATATGAGAATGTCTTGTTTATAGGAAATACGTGCTGATGTATTTAGAAATAAAACAACATGTCTGCAACTTACTCTCAAATGTTCATAAGGCATTTTACACACACACACACACACACACGCACGCACGCACGCACGCACGCGCGCGTGCACAGGAGCAAAAAACAACAGTGCTTTGGATTGGTTTGCAGGGGGAACCCAGGCCTCAAAGCTGCCCTAGTTCACTGTACTCGAGATTCAAAGCCCAAGAGAGAGACTTGTAGTCCCTCTCCCCTTTTCCCCACCCCCGATTCCGCCCGGACTCCTGCTGCACCTGTGCTGTTTGAGGAAGGTCCTGGGAACGGGCCTCCAGGGCCTCCACTGGTGGCCGTGAGACGGAAAGTCCTGAGCCCTCACCTGCCTATCCCCACTGCACACACAGGATGGACGTCAGATCCCCAACGGAAGTCAAGGTGATGCTAGAAAGGGGCTGGTGTGCTGGGTAGAGACACATAAAAAACGTCCTTCGTAGGAATGTTAAAGCCAGTGTCTTTAGGGTTGCTAAATCGCAGCTAAAAAATAACTTTTCAAGGTCAAGAAGCAAGTTGGAGGCAGAGATGGAGAGAACTGAGACAAATACTCTGCCCCCTTGCTGCCCAAAGTGTGGTCAATGGACTGATGGCACCATCACCTGGGAGGTGCAGACTCTCAGGACCACCCCGGACCTCTGCGGCAGAATCTGCATTTTAACAAGTTCTCGGGCGATTCACATGCTCACTAAAGCTCTGTCTCTGGAGCACTCACCCGTAAAAAAAATATATATATAAGAATCTGCGATACACAGAAGTTTTTTGTAACATTCTTTTAGTTTCCATCTGTGAGCTTGAAAATTATAGTAAAATAGTTATAAAACCAAGAAGCTAAAGTTAAACTCCCCCCAAATAAAAGGTCAATGTTGGAACACTTGTGGCGAGATTTGCAGCAGGCAATAAATGAGAAATGCGGGGACCGCTCTGGAAAGAATGAGAAGCCTGAGGTCCCACCTGCCACCCAGCAGAGGCCTGAGAGAATGCAAAGGGTGAGGAGGCACAGGCGGGTTGTCGCGATAAGATAAAGAGGTCCAGAATACACCACAACGGCAAACAATTATTTGGAGGGGAAAGCATTTGAGTTCTTGAAATCTCTTATCTGTCCAAAAGCAGAGCCCCCTGAAAGAACATAACTGTCCTAAGACCCTCCCTGGGAGGAAATAGGTGAGATAGACTCATTACTGAACTTGAGAAGTTCCACCTCACACCCACAGACACTACCAACACTATCTGCTCTCCTGAGGCCTACTTACACTTAAGAGCCATCTGCTTTCCCGTCATACCCTGTCCTCTTCTCCCATTACGGTGGCATATTAGCCCCAAATTCTCATCTCTCTCTGAGTCACATTTCTCTGTAAACTCCTGTATATATGTGATGAGGTCTCTTTTCTCCTGTGAATCTTTTGGTGAGTTTTGTTTGCATGCTCCCGGTTACTGGACCCAGGAGGGTAGAGGGGAGACACCACGGACACGGTGGGTCAGAGGCCAGAGAGCCCGGCTCCAGGCTCTGCTCTCATTATCGGTTCCCTCCACGGAGCACGGAACTCATGACCACTCTCGCCCTCCCCGGAAAAGGATTCTCAGAGCACACACCCACAGGGGGTCTCAGTCAGCATTTAACTTGCTTAGATTTCACTCTCCCTGGGAGCTCTGCCCCAGGGAGGCCACTCGGGGAGCTCCGAGTTCATAGACTGCTTTCACTCACAGGCACGTTATAACCTGCCAGTGGCCAGCGGCCATTTTCCTGTGGGAGCCGTGACTGTTACAGAGACCACTGAAGACCACGGAGGAGTCCACATGCTACCTGTCAGCGTCAGAGCCAAAGACGGAGGACAATGGCAATGCTCCTCACGGCTTCCACTGCACTAAGTGATTCCATGGTTACAGGGAGGCCAGCATCCGCGTGCATTTTATCATGAAACCGGGCAGAGCTGGCTGCACGGTGGCCCTCACCCATGCTCAGGGCCATGCCAAGGGCCAGAGCCACCAGGACTTACCACTGGTCCCGGGAGAATGAGATGATGAAGCGAATGCCAGCAGGGAGGCGAGCCATTTACGCATGGACCACAGTGCTTTGGCCACGAAACCAGATGCTTCATACAGAGGCTGGCAATCCTGGCTCCCGGTCTCTCTCTTGTCCGTGCACTGGCACCAGCTGGAAAGGAAGTGAGGTGTCCTGCTTGGTCTCGTGCCCCCTTCTCCTCCCGCAGAGGCTTGGGTCTCTACAATGAGAAAGAGGGGTGGAAAAGTCAGGGGTGCTGACAATGGCGCCGTGGAGTCCGGGCAGGAGAAAAGCCCTGTACAGTTGTGAGCCAGCCCAGATCAAAGCTGGCCTTCCTGGATGATGGGAATGCCCACCAGGGCCACTAGGTGGCAGCACAGTGTCTGCCCGGGGAGGGGGCGGGGCTTGTTCAGAGATCACTGAACTGGATTTCACATGATGTTCTGATGATATAAAAAGAACCACTGAGTTCATCTCTGTCTGGAAGGCATCTGGACATCAACCCATTCAACCTCAATCACAATGCTCTACAGACGGTTAACATGCACATGACCTCCCCCATAAGTGCCCAGCGGTTACACCGTGTGCTCGGTTACCAGAGGCGGTCAGGGAACCGGACGTGTTCCATTCCACCCACGCCGAACCAGGCCACAGCTGAGCCACAATAACAGAGGGGAATGTGGGCCGGGACCAGATGGCAGGTCATCAAACCAATCATTTAATTGTGGCTTTGCAACTGAACCAAAATGCATCTAACGGCTGAGGGAATGAACTTCACCTCTTAGTGGCTCTCCACTTCTCCTGAGGCCACCTCCGAGGCCATGGGAAATGACCCCATTCGGAAGGCAGAGGAATGGGCAGGGGTGCCCCCAAACCGAAAAGGGGCCCAGCACACCAAGCAGGTCTCCTGTCCCAATGTGTTAAATAACACAATTCCCAGTGCATCCAGAGCATGGGTCGCTCTGTCTTACACTTAGTGAAAAATCACAGGTTATTAACTTTTAAAAAGAAAGCTACTTTTGAGTAAACACTAATCTTGATTTAAAGAAGCTGATAGTTAATGTCTTCAAAACATTTCCTTGGGATAACAGACAAATGATAGCAAACAGTACAGATCTGGGGGACTTACACTTAGATTTGTTAAGTTCCTGTCTTTCCGTTAGACCCACGCTCACTCCTGCCATTAATCAGTGGTCGGCAAACTCATTAGTCCACAGAACCAAATATCAACAGTACAACGATTGAAATTTCTTTTGAGAGCCAAATTTTAAACTTTAACTTCTTCAAAATAGACTTTTTCAAAATAGACTCGCCCAGGCTGTGGTATTTTGTGGAAGAGCCACACTCAAGGGGCCAAAGAACCGCATGTGGCTCGGGAGCCGCAGTTTTACCGACCATGGTACAAAATCAATCAGCCAACCTGGACTCAATTCTGGTCAAGCCTGTGACACAGGAGCCACCCAGAAGGCACTGGAGAAGCAATGGGCAGAAAAGCTCCCTTTCCTTTAAAATCCTGCGGCTCTCCCCCCCGGGAGCCAGGAGAGAGTGAGTGCTACAAATGGGACACGTGACGATGGTGAGTTTCCATGTGGGATGTTAAGAGCTCAGTGTCATTTCGGGGAAGGGTTGATGGGGAGACATATGTAATTCTCTATATAATTTTTTTATAAAGAGCTCAGTGTTGCCGAAACTGGTTTGGCTCAGTGGATAGAGCATTGGCCTGCGGACTGAAAGGGTTTGATTCCGGTCAAGGGCATTCTTGGTTGCGGGCACATCCCCAGTAGGGTTGTACAAGAGGCAGCTGATCGACGATTCTCTCTCATTGATGTTTCTAACTCTCTGTCCCTCTCTCTTCCTCTCTGTAAAAAATCAATAAAATATATATTTTCTAAAAATGTCATAAAGAGCTCAGTGTCATGAGTGCTTTTCCTCCAAAGATTTTTGCCCTCAGAAAATCACTCCACTGAGCGCTGGCGGGGACAGGAGGCCTCCTTAGTGCGCCCACGGCCATTGCGGCCATTCCCGGGAAGAGGCAGCTCTCTCTAAAGGAACAATGAGGCCACTGCTGGACTAAGTGGGGCCAAATCTGGTCCGTCCAGTTTCCCTCAGTCCCTCCCCTCTCCACCTCACTTCCTGCGGCCCATCCCCTCAAGGAGAGGGCAGCAGAACTGGAAATCATTGGGCTTGACCTGTTTTGGCGCACAGCCCGAGCACATAAGAGGACTTCTTAAAAAATGGCTCTGACCTGGACCTCGCCACCACAACAGGGAAAAGTATCAGAGTATCCCGTTTCATTCTACTGTCAACGGGAGCAGCTTGGGAAACACCCCATTAGAGCATCTGTATGAAAATGTGCAAAATGCCCATCTTCCCCAACAGCCCGACTACTCAACCATTAGGAATGGCTGGAGGGAAGTTAGCATTCTGGGGCCCTACCTGCAGACTCCCCCTCCGAGATCCGTGCAGCCCTGTGCTCTTTGGAGAAGGAAACAGTGAGACTCGCCCTAACTGGTTTGGCTCAGTGGATAGAGTGTCCACCTATGAACTCAAGGGTCCCAGGTTCGATTCCGGTCTAGGGCATGTACCTTGGTTGCAGGTACATCCCCAGTGGGGGGTGTGCAGGAGGCAGCTGATCGATGTTTCTCTCTCATCGATGTTTCTAACTCTCTGTCCCTCTCCCTTCCTCTCTGTAAAAACTCAGTAAAATATATTTTAAAAAATAAAATAAACTATTTAAAGAGAAAGAAAACAGTGAGACTCAAAAATAAAGGCCAGAGTAAGACGGAGGGATCTCCCCAGAGCTGAAGTGCTGCTGTGGGTACTCAAACCAGCCCACGTGTTTTAAATGACCCATTAAAAACAAAGGTGCTAAAGTGGATCTTTTAAGGCAAAGGTGGGTGAGAATTGCATGTCCCCCCCAAAACGTGTTCTGAGAGAGAGGAACAACTTCCTTCCCAGAAAAACCACTTTCTGTGGTTGTGCTCAGTATGAACCATGAATGACAATGGCCCGAGCCCCTTCCCTGAGGCTTACATACAAAAGGGCGTCCCTCCTCCCCTCCCACCAGCAGCAAGATCCGTGCACAGATCCCGGCCAGGACAGGCCTGGCCGGTGTGAGGAGCAGAGGCCAAGCTGGACCTCAGGAAGTTCAGAGGGAGAGCACTGGGGGTAACTCTGGGCTAGTTGCCCACGCAAACTACAGGACACAATTCAAATCCAAGGTCAGCTGAGCTCTCCAGGTGGTGAGCTCCCGCAGAGGGAAGACAGGCCCAGGATTCCACCTTTAACTGGCTATCAGAGTCCTCCTTTCAAAGGCAGATCCTCCAGCTCCGCAGCTGGAGGCCGGGAGAAAGGAAAGGGGGGTGGGACGGCGGTGGCCGGCGGCTGGGCACTCTCAGGCGCCCTGCAAGCTCAGCCGGTGCCAGCACGGCGCTGGCGGGCACACTCCCGGCTCGGAACCAGCCGCTCAGCAGACAAACAACCCGGAGGCCGGTGCTGCCGCGGAGCCTCCGGCGGCTCTCCGAGCGGCTCCTCCCGGCGGCCGGCGGCGCAGGTGGACCCGGCGGGCACGCCCACGTCCCCGCGGCGCGGGGGTCAGTGCGCGGGTCACCCCGGCCCTGCCCCGGCCCCCGGCGGCTATCGCGGCCGGGCCGGTGGGGAGGGACCCGGCGACAGCTCCTGCCGTTCCTGCCGGGGACCGGCGCCCTCGCCTCCACTTGCCTGGGTGCCGCTCCGCAGCCCGGGAGGCGGCAGGGGCCGCCGCTCCTCGGGACCCTTATTCCAACGGCCCCGAGGCCGGAGGGGAGCGCCGGGCCCGGCCACAGCCCCGCACAAAGGCGGGCGGCGGGGAGGGGGCGCAGGGACCGGGTCCCCCCGCGCGGCGCCCCCAGAGCGCGGGCAGCGGGCGCCCAGTCCCGGGCCTCCCCGCCGGCGGCAGGTGCAGCGGCCGCGGCCCCGCAGGTGCCGGGGGAGGAGGGCCCCGCGCCCATCGATCGATCGCAGCCCGGCGCCCATCGATCATCGATTGATTGCAGCCCCCGCCTCACCTGCGCGCCGGCCCGCTCCCACCGGCCGGCTCTGGGCTTCCTGCTCGCGACTTCCTGGGGCGGCGCGGCCCCGCGGCCCTTTCGCTTTCCTGCGGCCGCGGGCGGCGGCGGCGGCGGCTCGGCCCCTCCCCTTTCCTCCGGGCCCTGCCTGGTCCTCCCCAGGCCTCTGGGCGGCCCGGGATCCCAAACCGCCCTGGCCGGTGGTTGCCATCCCTCACCCCTCACTCCCGCCAGCGTCCGCTAAGGAACTTGGGCATCCTTAGCAAATACCAGAACTTGGTCCTGGCATTTCTCCACGGGCACCCGGAGCTCCCCAAAGGCCTTGTGTCCTGAAGGTGGGTCTTACCTAAGGGCAGCGGAGCCAGGACCCGCACAGAGGTCCGCCTTGGCCTCCCAGCCTGGACGCCCGCTGCCCCTTCTCAAGGGTCAGAGCCACGCAGCTGGCACTCTAAGGGAACCTGGGCCAAGGCAGGCCGTGTTGAACCATCTTATTCACACCTGTACACGTGTGGCCCGCAGCTCACATGGCTATTCTGGACTCCCGCCTGGCCCCAGCCACTTGCACGGACACTCACCATTGCTGGGGCCTCAAGACAGTTCCCATGCCAACCCAGTGTTAGCCCAGGAACAACGTTCTGAATTCCACTCTGCTTCTTGCCAGACATTGACCTTGGGCAGCCCCCAGAAGGACGGGATGATAGATGAGCATGGGGGTACCCACAGAGCACTCCCAGCACACACTGCGTCCAACACAGCCAGCTCCCAGCTCCCCGGAGAGCAGAGAGAGGCAGAAAGCACCGATACATGCATATAAGTACAACCAATGGTCACAAAACTCTGGGGAGGGACGGTATGTATGGGAGGGGGGGGGCAATGTTAAAATATGTACACAGATAATAATTTAATAATAATAAAAAAAAGACTGTCCTAATTAAAACCATCCTCACGGCTAGAACCAATCCAAGGCCAGGCTGAAGTGCCCCAAAAGGTCTGTATGAACAGTGT